TGGTAACTATGGAACACTACATATTTTTGAATTGTCAATTATGTAGGTGAAACTTTCTGGATTTTGATTTTGTTGATTTGCCTAAATTGTAGTTTTCAAGGAAAAAAAACTAGAATTCTTTAAAGACATTGCTTTGAAGTCCAGTATTAGCAATACGGTTTGTGTTTGTATGCATTTCCTAAAATAAAATGTGCCTATTCAGAGCAACTTCTATACCAAAGTAGGTTAAAATTTTTAAGATTATGATTAATGAGTTGGTAACCTCTTAAATTGTACAGCCTAGCACATTTAGTGGATATTTAACCTATTTGTTTAACAAGTTTATTCTTTATAAAGTATTTATAGGGATTTCATTATACAAGATTTGCAAATAGTACGTGCGGATTGAAATAGTCTTTTGATGAACTGTTTTGAGGCCATTAATTAAGAGGCTTCTCTTGTTAAATTTATAATTTGCTCCTTTCAGGCATTTTTTATTATTATTTACAAGTATTTCTTGAGACAGCACAGACCTTGCCACTTGATGTTTTAATTCATATTTTGCATACACTTGGAAGTTTTAATGATGTTCAGTCAATTTAGTATGTTTTGCAGTATAGGTTTTGTAAAGGACTTTGTAACTAAAATGGTTATTTTAAATGAAGTGTGTGTTGACATTTGAAACTTCTACTGTTGTAAATTATTGTAAATGTGATGTTTGATCTACAAAATGTAACAACAGAATTAAATAGGATTATGTATAAATTAAGTTTGTGTAATTATATTGAAATATGGTTTATTAGAACTTCTCCTCCAAGGCTTGTAGAATGTAAATATTTTGCATACAGAAGGAAAACTTAACGCATATGGTTCCATAAAAAAAACTAGAAGTCATAGTTTAGAGGATGCTGGAATGTTTTAGAAATAACGTTGTTCATAGCACAAAAAAAAAAGCGCAGCACCTCTTAATTTGATACCGTTAGTACTATACTAAAATAATTGCACTATTTTTTCAGGGAAATGCAGAGTACTGCTTGTGTGTTCTAAATACACGTGGTTAATGTCCACTTATATTTTTTCTCCTCTGAATTTTTCTTGTTCATCTTTTCAGCGCATATATGTGGAGCTGCAACTTTCAGTTCCCCTCCAGGATCTTGGCATTGTTTTAAGATAGATTGGATGCTTCACAGCAGATGACCAAGGAAGCTTAATTCAACCCAACAATTTATCCTTATGGCATTGAATAGCATAACTTTGCAGATTTAAAACTATGCAGACTGGCTTGTTTGCCTCCTATTTGCATGTGGTTTATAAAACAGTTAGGTTTTTTCATCGGGATTTTTAAGAGTATTGTACGATTTGGATCAAGTGCTTCATATAATCTGTTTTATCAGCAGTGTCGGAGTTAAGAAAATTGAGTAGTCTATTTTGTAAATATTGTGTAATAAACTTGCATTTCAGAATGTGTAACATGATGAAAAGGATTATATGCACTTGCTGTTTCATTACATGTATACAGTACACTTATATTGCCAAAATTGTTGACACTTCATTTTTATGTAGTTGGAACTGAAGTTTGTTCTTTAAAAGCCTATAACTTGGTTACATGTTCACTCAGATTTCTTTGTTGAGTCGGTGACTTAAAATAAAACATTGCTATTTTAATAGAATTAAAAACAAATCCTATAAAATAAAAAAACCCTGAAACATTCTAATTTATTAATCTCTTCATTTCTGGGATATTGCCTTATTTTTGAAGAACATTTTAGTGTGATAATGAATATAGGTATGTACAATGGTTGCTGTTTTCAGTATACAGTTTCCTTCTGTTGTTCATTTGAGCAGTTCACTGTATGCAAATATACTGCTGTGCTATATACAGCCCCATTGTTGTCAGGTAGTGTCCCATGAGGACATGGCAAATGTAAGGCCTAATCTAGCATTTCATAACAGTTGGCTCTTGCCTGTTATGTTTGACCACAAAAGCTTCTGTGAACACTGCCAAAACCTGTTCAGGAAGAGTGCACGAGAAGACTGCTCAAGCATTCCCAGGAGTAATATTGGGTGCCTATTAGTATATTTAGTTTTAAATATTCCAGGGTAATGATGCACATGCAACTGGAATAAATCTTCCCTCTATTACTTATTTCACTTGTGGCCTCTGATTAAAGACACCGCCCCTTTCTCCCCCCCTTCATATACATATCTGATATAAGTCTAACAGTTGGACATACTGAACATTTGATTAACCAATGCCAGCCTCAAAATGTTGTATGGAGGGAGCTGCGTCCTCCCATTCCCATGTTCAAGACCTGGAATGACCACCTAGTTATTGCATTGAGCCCCAACTTCTTACTCGGTTGTCTTCTGAAAATTCACTTGTTACAGAGTGCCTACCTTTGGTCTCCACCCAAATGTTACACTTACAGGTAAGTTAAATGAGAGAAAGTTAAATCCCTTAGTGCTGTTTTCTCTGAACCTGCATTTTAGATTGTAATGTTTCTTTTAAGGTAGAATTTGTCTTTGTTATGTATAATACTAAGCATACTGTTAATGCTAAAGTAAATACTGATCATTAAAAGATTAGAACTAGAACTCTTGAGAGTGCAATTCTAGCTGCTCTTCAGATGATGTTAGTTCACAGGCACAAAACTGGGTCTCTAGTTCCCTACCATTACTTGTGAAAGAGCATAAAATCTAGCTGCATGTATATAAGTAGAGGGAAGAAAGCAATACAAAGTTAAATCTGATACAGGTTTTCAAACTATCACTTTCGCTGCCAGAAATCATTAAAATAGGAATTCAAATTCATATTTAACTAAATAGCTCTTAATCATCTTTGCCTATCATTTCCCCCATGTTTGGTATCTGAATACTATCACTTTTGATAATTGGTAGAGCTGTTTTTGTTCCAAAAAAGTATACTACTTCAAAATGTTTCTATAAAATGTATCTGGGAATGTCAAACTCCAGTCCGTGTAGCATGTAAGTTTTTGTGGCTGTTTGTGGAGCACCTTCCATAATCAGACCTCCAGGAGATGCTGTAGTCTTCTGGCTTTTAAGTGGAATCTACCATCACGGTCGGTGACAGTCCTAGCTCTTCTTCACAAGAATTGCTTTCTGCTCTGGCGGCTTATTGTAATCTGGAAATGAAAGCTATCAGGGGCGTCTGTTTAAAAGAACAAGAAGTCAATATTAGAACTTCCTACTCCTGCAGAATTGCTGTATGATGAAAAGTATCCATTATAAAAGAAATACCTGATTCTCACTCAGAGGAGGGTGATTAGCTTATCAACCTTTTTCCTTATCCTTACTGTTTGGTTGTGTTATCTGACATCGGAGCGCAAGGGAAAAGGGTCTTGTCTGGTAGATTTTTTTCCTCTTCCTCTTCTTCAATCCTTTGATTCGAAGATGACCTCTTACCACAGCTTGCTGATACGCAGGCTGGGATGAGGGTGGCCAACTCTTGTGTTTTGAATCTCTCCCAGGTTTCCGAAACGCCAGCATGCTCGTGACACGCAACGCAGACGTGCTCACGTGTGTCGGCTGCGGATGACGGTGCGTAGGCGTTGCGTCGGGAAGGCGGACGCACATTGCTACTACGTTTAAAACGTAGGCCTCCTGCACTCGGATTCTACATTTAATGTTTGTTTAAATGAATGCCCCGGGTCCCGCGCTCGTCTGACTCCTGGAGCCTCCAGGGCCATCCTGCAGGGTGTCGGCAACCCTCCTCTTCCTTCCCCCGCTCTCTTCTTGCTTCCAGGGTCCACAAAACGGGCTGCCACCCTGTTGCGTTCGCGGCCGGCTCCAGGCGTCGAATTGCACTGTGGTGCGTGGGGGCATCTGCAAAAACAACCCCCAATGGGCTGGGGTCGGGGCTGTGCGTGGGGCTAGGACTAGACGGTGGCTGTGCTCTGGGCGCTTGTCCTTTGCACCCCTTCCCCCCCCCCCCCCCCAGCCACTTTCTTCAGGTCGGCCTTCAACGTGTCCTCGTCCCCTTGGGCCGGGCCCGTGCCCTACCGCGCGCCGGGCCTGTACACAGCCCTCCTTTGGGGCCTCTTGAGCCCC